TTTACACATTAGTTATTTTTTCACAATGCAGTCATTTTGACTGTTTTTGGGCAATATAGCTATACAAGAAATCTCGGGCAATCTAGTGTTAATTACGTTTTGAATCTTGTCTACTTGATATCGATTCTTCTCTCAATGATTGTTATCATATTTAATTTTTTATTTGTAAGTTAAATACGTTTTTAAAGCAGCAGTAAATTTCTATATTTTTTCATTAACTTGTTTGTTATTTATTTTTCTGAACAATGTTTCATTTTATTTTAATAGATTATAAGGACGCTTAATTGCTAATTATACTTTTTTTTTTTATATCTATTTTTTAAAGTAAGGTAAGACTTTTTTATTGGTTATTTTATACGATATGTTTATTTCTTGTTTTACTATATTTTTTTTTTTTGACATGTAAAAACATCGATTTAAAACTATGTCGTTTACGTAGTTTACGTAAAGATTGTTTTTTCTTTTTTTTTTATTAGTTGTTCTGTTATAACATTTTGTAAAAAGACCCTTTTAAAAATATAGAATGGTACAATTTTTACTTTTTCAAGTATTACGATTTTCTTTTAATAAAAACGTTCTATAATAAAATATAAGTGTATAGATATATTTTCAAAACTAAATGTTTTATCAAAAAATAGAATACTTTTCTTTTCTCTTTTAGATTCTTGAATTTTCGGTATTATTGAAAAGTTTAAAAGACAAAATTGAATGTATCATTTATGTAACTGGTTCAATATTTACTGTTTATATAAATTCATATCTTGGGCAAAGATTGTTGAATCATAGCAATGCAGTTCTTGAAGAATTGTGAGTAAATAATAAATTCATTGATAATTACTAATAATTTAATATTTATTGGTCAATTTAATAAAATCAATTTAATAAAAAAATGCTTGAATATTGTTTAATAATAACAGGGAATAGAATCCTTTTTGCAGAATTGTACACACTTTTTTTTCTAATTTTTTTTTTTCTATAGTTCAAAAGTATGCTTGTATATAAATGTAAATCAAATTATTGTTTACAGATGTAATGTTCCGTTTTATACGCTATCTGTAAAATCACAAAAATTATTATTACTTATGATAGCAAGAAGTCGAAAGCCGAGTTTTCTATCAATTGGAAACATGTTTGTCTCATCTCACGAAGTTTTTGCTAGTGTAAGTCACAAATTCATGTTCAATTCATATAAAACATTAATAACAAATTAATTTTGTTTTTAATTTTAATTGATTTCTCTTAGCTGTTGCGAAAAGCACTTTCATTTGCAATGGTCTTCTACAATGTACAATAATTCAGAGCTTTTAAATAATAGTAAAGAATAATATGTTACACATAATTCTTATTAAAAATAACAAATAATTATTTAGAGTTAATATACTTAGTTATATTAGAAAGCATTGTAACATAAAACTATTTGTCTGTTGTCAAAAAACATTTGTTCGAAAAAATTACAAGTTCGTATACTTATTATTTACCTTATTAAAATAATATTTCAGTTAAGATTTGATGTTTATTAATTTTTTATTGCTGTATTTTTAATAAAAGTTAACAAGAAGTGTATAATATTTCAAAGAATGTATTTCATTTCAATGGAAGCCATATTTTACTTACTGCAAAAGGAAACGGTTTTCTTATTTTTAAACTAGTGTCCTGCACCGCTGTCAGAGAGCAACTGACCAAGATTGCAATCAATCAACCCTTCTGCGCATGTCCTTGGAGAGTGAAAGTAAAAGGTATTTTTCCCCTAGTTTAATTATGGGAATCACCATCTGTTTCAATACATGTGAACAGGTATATCTCAATAGAAAACATTGTACATAGAGTAGCTATAAGATAAGAGGATATCATTTTATCAGTAATTATATTGAATAATTTATATTACCTCAATCATTACACTGATTGTGTTAAATTTACACTATTTGTAATAGATAACAATTAGAATTAGTTAGGGGCAAGTAAAAGATTGTATTTCATTCAGTTTGCCGTAGGATCTCGTGAGATATTTTACCATGTCTTTAAAACTACGAGATTTAGGGAAACATCATTTCCTTTTCTCAAATCGTTGCTTTCAGTTCTTAACGAACCAATGTCCTAACGGAAACCAAAGGAAGCAGTTGTTGTTGTATTCGATAGTAGTTACCTACACGTCACCATTTATTTTCCAAATGGTACTTGTATTTTTTTTTTCTTTTACCCTACATGTAACTTTTATTTATTATAATTGTTTTTAAACAGTGACTAGCTTATCGGACCAATTCATTTTGTGTTTACTTTTTACCTTTATTATAAAATACAAATGTTTTTTCTAATAGCGTTATTAACTATAATATTGTTGCGACGTTTGATCGCATGATCCTAAAAAATATTATATATTTTTGTTATTCGTGCAGCTGTATAAACTTTTTACTACTAAAACGATCGGACAATCAACTATTTTACTGATTCAAAGAGTAATATCACTTATTATTTTCAATGTTACTTATAGTGTAGGATATTTTCGTTTCGTAACAGTAAGTAGGCTAACTTATATTTTAGTTAAATACCTTGCTGTAATTTCAGAACATTTTGTAGAAAATATTTCATTTTTATTTTAAGATTCAATTACTTATTGTTCGTTTTAAACTTGATCACGAGAAAATTTCCGATCTTGATGAAATGGACATTTTAAAAAAGTATACCAACCAAAGCAAATCTTGTGTGTATGCTTTAATGTGTAAGTGTGAGTAATTATTAGCTATTAGTGTATAATTTTTCTTATTTTTTAAGTATATTTTTTCTTTTACTTTTTCAGTTTTCTTTGATATTAATTGCTTCTTAAACGTATTCCCACCAATTGTAAATGCTTTTTTATATTCCATTGGTATATTGGAGGTTAATCAATTAACATTACCATTAACCGAAAATAATATTGATCACGTTGGGATGATGTATTTTTGCATGCTTATTGGTCAATCAGTAACAGTTTTAATGACAATAGTAGTTAGTAGTATTACTCTTTCAACATTTTTGGTTTTCATTCAGCACGCCTGCTGTCAGTGTAGCATTATTATGTACGTTTCTGGTAAGATTGGTTTTTTTATTTTTTCCAGTACTAATTGTTTATTTAAAAATTGTAATAAAGTGTTCTTTGTTTTTAAACACAGATTAAAAATTCGTCAACCATTTCAAAGTAATCAGACATCAGAAAATAAAACGAAATTTTTTAGTACACTTACGGAGGAATACAATTGGATAGTCGATATTGTAAATCGTCATAGAATATCTATTGAGTAAGTGTTAAATTAGAAAATAATATTTTTCTTTTATTCATTATAAAATTTAATAATTCCTTTTATTTTTAGGTTTATTAAGATGCTGCGAAATATTTCAAACGCTACTTATTTAATTGTAATGCTTCTCGCAACGATTGTCATCGTGGTTAACTTTTTATGTGTAAGTCAAACCACCTTAATCAGCAGTAAATTTTGTGCAAAATCAGTTTAGAACTTTTTTAAAAAAAGCCGTGTACAATAGGAATATATGTATATATACATAAATTTTTTTTAATTTCAGATTCTCAAATTCTCAATATTTTTAAAAACTTTAAAAGATAAAATAGAATGCATTATTTACGTTACTGGTTCAATATTTACAGTTTATATAACTTTTTATCTTGGACAAACTTTGTTGAATCATAGCAACGCAGTTTTTGAAGAGTTGTAAGAACGTGATAAGTTATATTTAATAAACAATTATATAAGAGAGTTACAGCATATTTATCTGTAAAAATATTGAACGATATCACCTTAATAAAATTTTATATATTTCTTTTCAATTATTTTTCTGTTTATTGTTTAAAAGCAAGCTTGTGTATGAATAACCAAAAAGTATTTTTGTTTATAGATGTAACGTGCCGTTTTATACGCTATCTGTAAATTCACAAAAATTATTATTACTTATGATAGCAAGAAGTGGAAAGCCGAGTTTTTTATCAATTGGAAACATGTTTGTCTCATCTCACGAAGTTTTTGCTAGTGTAAGTCACAAATTCATGTTGAATTTATATAAAACATTAATAACAAGT